TAGTGTAAATGCTTCTCTACCTTTTCTTTTTCCTATTCCCCTTGAGAGGGTGTCTGTAAACCTTTCCTTCCACAGACTTGTCTCCCTGGGGTTTTGTCTGTGGGGCTGATCCTGAGCTCATAGTAGGAAAAAGAGAAGATAGTTTTCACTGTGGCTCAGACCTCACTGTGGCTTTCTTCAAAATATACTATTTGAAAACATTAGAAGAGCTCTGAGTTCTTGTCTGTATGAAACTTCCCTGCTGCAGAGGTTTGGACAATGGAGTCTGTGCCCCTGCTCCAAGTGCCGGGTCCTGTTTTGTGTAAGTGGGTCCAATAACTGAATTAAATCAATACGCAAAGGGCGGGTAAGAAAATGATCTGCTCACCCCAGCTGGATAGGGCTTTTGTTTGTGTCCTAGTTTTCTTTAAGGTGTGGGTGACGAATCATGATAAATTAGTTCTCAGAGCTTTGCAGTCTCTTCACTAATGAATTAATTTTAATGGGCACTGGCTATAGTCCTCCCACAGCTAGCAGCATTTTGCCTGTGCAGTTCTTTTCATCACAAAGCCCCTGAATTCACCCCATGCTCTCCTGGGAGCACGCTCTGAGCTGAGGTTTCTCCATGCAGGAGCAAAGACAGAGTGTAAGAGAACTACCGGTCTGCTGCGTGTCCCCCAAAACACACCATCAACAGCTCAGCTCAGGCTTGAGCAACATCTCACCAAATCAGCCAGCTCGGCATGCTGCCAACGCCAGGACAGGGACAACTCTTCCTCCACATACAGATGTGATGGCCTGTGGTGGAGGGTGGACCTGTGACCCTGTCCTTGGCAAGGGGACAAGCTCACAGAAGGCATGTGACAGACAACGGGAGATGAAAGCATTCATCCCGCCCCCTCCAGTTGTTGAATTTAGGTGAGAAATACCAAACATATGTGGGGAAAAAATTAGGCCTACGGATGCTTGAAAGTAATTTTCCGTATGTGGTATTTAAGAATCTTAACTTCCAAATCATTTATAATGGTCTTTGAAGGGAACCCTATAAACTGTCTTCCAGTTCCTGATGAGATGGAATAATTTATTACATCAATTTCTCTGATTAATGTAAAACGTGTTTCAAATTTGGGTTTTCCTTTAATATTTAAACTTCCCCATGAGAGGAGCTGTGGAAGGACAGTGTGACAGAGTGCCCTCCAAACTGGTGTGGCACGTTCCCAAAGCAGGGCAGGCTCTGCTGCTGGAGCCGATAAGCAAGAAAAGCCACTGTGCACCAGCAAACCCAGCATGTTTCAGGACCTGGCATGAACCTTGGTGCCAACCCGGCTGGAAGGAGCAGGGCTGGACAGCTTTGCATCCCATGGAAAAGAATTTCTTAAAAATTTACCCTGTGATCTGAGTTGGGAAGTTTAAGCAAACTTTAAGTTGTCAAGAATGGCGCTCCCAAAAAAAAAAAAGAGTTGAAAAAAGTCCAAAGCTGGTGTTATTCAGGGTAAATTGCGTGGTAGAGCTTTTTTCCTAAGAAACCAATTTAGTTTAAATAGGCTTTCTACCATTCTTTTATTTCATTTTTGCAGAGCCAAAGTCAGACAAAACGATGTCTTTGTCTTGGTCTCACACCGTGTAGGAAATTGAATATTTATAGTCATCGAATATTTATAGTCATCATTTCCTGAGCTGGTAAAATGAACCAGCCTTTCTGTGTCCTCCATGGACCATGGTGAGGCTACAGCTACTGAAGGATCCATCTGTGACAGTCCTGCGTTGACCACTCAAGTTACTGGAAAAGGACAATGTTAGCACAGAAGGGTCTATATGCCCAGGAAAGCTAACGGTGTAATGCACCCGTGCTGGAGGACAACCCTTAAATACCTGCAGTCATAAAATTCAGAGCCCAGACAAGAGGGAGTCTGTTTTAGAGAGAATTATTTATTAGATGATAGGAGGTTTTTACGTACAGATTCTGTCCTGCAAAAGTGTCCTGGTCATGGATTTGTCAGGGAGACATTTAAAACCATTAGAGCTGGCTCTGGCCTCCACGCAGAGATACTCAAGACACAGCAGAGCTCTGCCAGACCTTGCTCTTGTGCTGGTGCTCAGCTGGGGAGAGGTCTGGTGTACCACAGCATCCCTGAGCTCGTTACACCATATTTATCCCATGGGAAAAGCTGGCCCGTGGGCTGAAAACCAGTGGTGGGGACACCAGATGGTGCTGCAGAAGAGGCACCGTTCTTCCCTGGGATAACTTGGAGATATTTTCCCCAAGCAGGGAATTGTCTTCCATTATGCCAGCGACGAACACGGCTGAGCAAATGGCTATGGAGATACAACCATGCTATGAGGTAGCACGAGGTAAATTAAAAGAAAAAAGAAAGATCTCTGTGATACAGAGAAGAGCTCTTCCCACCCTCCCTCACCCCAAAACCAGGCCAAGCAAGCAATGACCGAGTCCCCTGCAGAGACCTCCCAGAAAGCAGCTCTGACAGGTGGATCACAAAAAGGCAGCAATTTTGCCTCATAATAGTTGTCCTCCTAGCAGTGTTCCTCCCAATTTCATGGGTGACCTGTTTTCTTTTGGGTTGGCAGGTAGTATTTGTCAGCCTTTCATCAGGGCTATGCACAGCCCCTGCAGTGGCACAGGGCTTTGCCAAGTGAAGCCCCGGTGAATCAGAAAGCCGCTGTGCCCGTTTTGGTCCTCCTGAGCCAGCTCCAGGCCCGTGGCATGCTGCACAGAGCGTGGGCAGCACTGGTGCAGCAGCAGGGACAAGAGAAATGGCAGATGAAAGGCATCAGCCATCACACTGGCAATAACAGAAGGGCTGGAGACCACGTCTTCTGCAGACGGCCAGTGGCTCACAGCCAGCGTAGGGCTCGGTGTCGCACCAGTCCCTGGGCTTTGTCCTTATTCTGGGTGTGCATCTTGCTGCACGCTGCCACTGTGCATGTGGAAGAGCAAAGTGGATTGGCCGGTGGCTCGGAGTTTTGTTTTGACAGACAACCACCAACATGGACATTTTCCCAACATCCAGCAGATTTCTCAAAGGAAGGTATTATCCAGGAGTCATCTATTTAAACTTTATAATTTATGGGTGCTGAAGGGTAAGAAAATACTCTAGAGTCTGGCTCCTGAATCTGGTCTTCTGCTGAAGCTGCATTCTTGTCTACCCAAGGGACTTTGCCGGCTCGGTCAGAGCATCAACTCCACTTCACTGCCTGCAAAGGCACATTTAACTCTATTTCTCCTTATTAAATCTCAGTCTATGGCTCCAGAGACTACATGTAAAACCCTAGGCATAATCCCCAACTTTGCCCATAGTGTACACGAGCTTGGTCTACTATCAGGACTCTTAGCAAGAGTATTCCCCTCTCAGTCCACAATACTCTGAAGGAAAGACTTGTTGGAACAGGTTTGTCAGAAATTTAATGCAATTGTCCGAAACAGCTGTTTATGGCTCATCTATCTCTCTTCTCATCTCAGTCCAAGAGTGGCCTTTGTTAGCTCGGTATATTAGAAAGCTCTGAAACTGAGGACTTGGCAGTAAACAATCACAGTTGATGCCAATGTCAGTACAAAAGATGGGTCAGACTACAGACCTCAGAAGGAACAATTTGCGAGATGACCATTTTTCTTTCACCGCAGATGACCTTCAGGGTTGGCGGTACAGGGCATGGGGGATAACAGTAAGACTGCAGCTATAAAGCAAAGCAGCAGACCTCCAGATAGTTATCTTTAGGACAGTGAACACTCAGCACTGAACAATGTACCTAACTAGGTTTGCCACAAATATGCCTACTTTAAATCAGGTTTTATGTTCCTAAGGCACTTGGACTCCTTTTTTGGACCATGCACCTCAATAAGCCTGATGTTTGGGGTTGGGAGGGTTAAGAGAAACGTCCCACGAGGGCACAGCATATTTAGTTGAAGGGAACAGATGCTCCAGACCCACTGAGTTACCAAAACCTCTGGAGCAATCACGGACACATCTTAAACTTTTAAGGATGTCTGTGGCATTGGTTGTGCTCCCACCTTCCCCACCCTTTGGAAAGGGGCAAGCTGAGGACCCCCCAGGCCCTCTGAAGACCAGCAAGATGGTGGTATTTTCAAGGGCAATGCCCTGTTCCAATATGGGAGCTCAGAAAGCCGGAGCTCTTTGCCTACTCTTTGCCACAAAACAACAAATCTAGGGGTTTCATTGAAACATAATCTCCTTCCCTCCTCTCTCAGCCCCAACCTTTAAAAACCCCTCATTGTCCCAGCCTGGTCTGATGTCTAATTCCAGCTTGGTCAAGCAGGAGGGACACAGAGAAGACAGCAGAATATCTGACGTTAATTTCAGGCTAACACTTACAGGTAGCTTTTTGCCTCCACTTCCATTCTTCCCTTCCAGAACTGTGTCTTCAGCCACCCATGGTGAGAAGTCATTCCTTCCAAGACTTCTCGAAACACCTTGATGAGTGAAGCTCACCTGTCAGAGCTGCCTGGATGTTGTAGATGACAAAAGTTCTCACTGATGTTTTTGGAGAGAAAAGGCAGGAGAGAGGGATGTTTTCTCTCCAGAGTATGTGCACAAAGGCAGGAGGCATGGGAGCCTTTTTCCATAAGACCAGTTAAAGCTGACTCTGAACGTGTACCTGCAGTGATGCACAACAAACTCTGAGCATCCTCGAGGTGCCCCCCTGGCACAAGCAGCGCTCGACTTACCGGCTCTCTTCGGGTTCCCAGCGCGGAGGGCTGTGGGAGGTGTGCTGCGAGGCAGCGCTACGGGGCTGCACTGAGGACGTCTGACAGGGAGGGCAGACACGGAGAAGCTGGAGAAATTCAAAGCAGAGGAGTGCAATTCACCGGGGCTCCAGCAGCGCATGGCAGACGGGCCGTTACCAAGACTTGGTGGCACTTGTCACTATGTTTTGAGTATCTCGGTTGGGCATGTAAGACCAGTTCTAACAATGTCCGAAAGAAACAACACGTTCTCATTCGTATAGTGTACGGCATTACAGGGGAATAACCCATTACACAGAAAGATTTTGAACATTAATTACAGTATCTTTTATAACTTTATAATTTAACTGCCAACCCTTGCCCTTGAAATTAATCATGGATGTACATCATATAATCAAACAAACTTTTTTAAAAAGTACATCTTAATATAAATAGTTTATTCAGTGCATGGTCTTGTGTACAACAAATAATAAACAATTATTTTGTACGAGGCAGAAAGCTGCCTGTACAGAACTATGTCAGTTTTGGAGCACAGAATCCAACGATGATTAATGCACAAAATCTTACACATCATGCAACTCTATGCCAATATTCCAACTTTCTCCCATGCAACAGACATGATGACCTAAATGGAAACCTAACTACTTTTTTTAAACAATTGTTTCCAATAGCATGTATAAGTATATGTTGTTTAGGGGTAACCTGTCCTAACGCTTCCTCCTACACAATATTCACGTGCCCGTTACAGTGAAAGAAGGACTTTTACAAATAAGACATTTCTTATAAAAAAATTAAGTCACCTTAATTCCACAGTTTCTGTCTTTAGAAAAGAAGCCACAACAATAGTTTAACATGACACACAAAATGGAATTAAGAGAAATCTACACTGGAGGATAATTTTATCCCTTTCTGTTAACTTCCACTTGGGATAACAAAACAACTCAATTCCTACAGACTGGGGTTAGCACAAGAACTTTACCAGAAACTACAAATCTATAAAAATTTATATTTCATTGTGTTTAAAACCACAAGAACACTGTTTGCTTGAGCCTGAGACACCAACGCTCAGTTCCAACCCTGATTTTTTAATTATTTTTTTAAAGACATAGCTTTAAAGACCCATTGGAGTTCAGAAATCAAAAAGTTGCACTATTCCAAATTAAAGGATACATTTTTTTTATCAAGCCTTAGATATAAAACGGTAAGCCAAGGAAACAACAGAGTTTACATATTTGTTTTTTGTTTGCCCCTATAAAACATACAAGCATTAAAATTTCCTTTGAAGAGCAAAAGTGGTCTTTTTTCTGAGTTGGAAAGCAAATTCTTATCAGCAGTGAATGCTGTGAAATGTTTTTGTTTCGTATTCCACAAAGCACAGGAGAGAGAGAGAAAGAGAGAGAGATAAAGAGAGAGAGAAAGAGCTGGACATTTCTTCTCCGAGATTTATTCCGCAGTTATGTTTGCTGGCTATCCAAGTGCCTTGTGATATGCACAAGCATATTCTACATTACTGGGGTATATCCTTTGACAACCAGTAGATCTAATGGCTGATAAACGAGTGACCTATGCAAGTTCGGTGGCTTGTCCTGGGCAATTGAACGTTTGGATGAAAGACTGCTAGTAAGAATTCAACTGCATCCAGAGGTAAGGTTCTGTATAGAGAGCACTTGGCTTGCCTGAACCTGGCTACGTTGACTCGTTTTGGCTCATGGATTTACCCCCGTTTAGCACTCCTGAAACACTTCTGCTCTTTGTTGGGGTCCCACTTCCAGATCTTGAGAACTCTGTGAGATCGTGGAGAGAAGGCTCTTTGTACATGGCCACTGCAAAGCAAAGGAGAGGCAGCACATCAGCACGCGTTACGGGCTACTCAGTCTGTTGGTGCGAAGTCTGGCTGCAAAATGTCGGGATTTTTCATTCAGCAATATGCAATGTAAGGAGTGAATGAACAAAACATAGCAAGGAGACCTCTTCCATTTCAAACACTCTCTATGAACCTCTGAGGTCCTCTTCAAAGGTATGACAGGGAAAAACCACAGCTCCCTCCCTCTCCCAGTTAAATCACGCACTTACCCACTGCATGTTCAAAACTCTCCAAGAAAGAGCTAAGCTGATATAAATCAACATCTCCTTATTAATGGTGAGGTAGCACTGTCGACAGCTGTGATTTTACTTGTTACTTGTATACATAGTCTAAGCAGGTGGCTTCAAAAATGGATTTTCAGTCTTTTGTCTCCTTTGTTTTCACACACACTAGAAGTGAGGATCAACCTCAACATTGGTTGCCTAACACCTAGTCCTAAATGTAGACTGCCAGACTAGTCCAGCATCCACCCAAGGCTATGCACCTTTCAAATATCGTCTCTGATTTAAAAATGACACTGCCTTTAAAGGCTACCTAACAGCATAACCCACAACTAGAAGGCTTCATTCCTCTTAAGGAAGGAGCATATGGAAGCTAGTTCTTCTGGAGAAAAGGAGCACCTCCATACATCGACTGAGGTCTCCCTCTTTGCATTGACCGAAGAGGGAGGGAAGTCTGGCCACAGTCCTGATTCAGATCCTTCAGTTAACTGGGATGACTATTCATCCTGGCTTTTAATACACAGTGGTATACATATGCCACATGTATTATTACCTTTAATGTCACATGCTGATGCCACATTAATTGCAGTTTAATAAGCACTGCACATTAGAGCTTTATCACAAGCAAAAATACACAGACAAACATCCTGTAACATAAAGCACAGATTGACAAGCTATACAGCAAGTCACTGATGGCCTGTGAGCAGATGTTTGAGCCATTCCAGGTAGTCTTCGTTATCTATAATGGAGACACTGAGGACTTTGGGCACAAAGAAACTAATATGCGTGTTTGGTTAGACTAGAGAAATGCAGCGGTAACGTAGAGAAACCTAAAAAAAGCAGCTCTGGTTAGATTGACAGTGTGCTACTGAACATTATAGTCCTGCTATATAAGTAGCCGAACCCTTCAAATATGCATGCACAGCAATTAAACAGCTCTGACACAAGTTAAAGTCAGTTCAGATAGATGAGGCAAACCCAAGCAATTACCTTTTAATGGTTTTGGAAGAAAGTGTGCTGCAGGTTTATTTTTCTTCACGTGGTTTCCTTTCATTATTTCTCCTTCTTTGTTAAGACCCAAATACCAACCCCGGCCAGACTGTTGCTGTCTGTAGATCATTGAAGAATATGTCACATAGTAGTTTTCAAATACTGATTCTTTGAACTTGCATTCAGGTGTAAAATGTTCCTGTAAGAAAGTAACAGATCAGTGTGTGCACTGCTGAATCACACATCGTTTAATGAAAAAGCATCCAATATTCATTGCTTTCCCGACAGCTAAAAGACATACCTCACCCTCCACTATCCGGTTATGAAACACAGGCCCTAAAAGTATTAACAAAAGAGTAACACAATTTGAAACCCGTGAAATGATGCTGTGAGCAGCTCAAAGTAACATCATAAAATCTTTTTGAACAACGAGTAAAACATCTAAGTGAAGAGTTATTGATTGATGCAGCTAATGGGTATTGGGCAGATGCAGCTCTGATGTCAACCCCAAGGGACCAGCTGTGGTCCAGCCCCACAGGCGAGGAGTAAGGCCACGTAATTCCTTTGTGCATTAACTGCTTATGAGGAAAGAGCAATAAAAATTCAAAGCCAGGATGCCATGAGTAAATGGTCATCTCTTACTAACCCAGCAATATTATGTTAGCTGGTAGCAGCTGCCTCTTTGGTCTAATCTATGCTCTTTCTCTGCCCAGAGCATCATCCACTGAAAGCCCAGGTGTCAGAGACCCACTGTTGACATTAGCCTCTGCTCTGGGACTGGCAAGAGTTACATGGTACCACAGCTGAAAGCATACAGGATCAAGCTTTAGTCTTCATGCTGAATTGCACTGCTTCTTTTGCAGAGATAGTATTGGGCTAACAGTTAAAATAAAGAGCAATAATCATATCAATCAATAATCATATCAATCAATAATCCAGGAGAAAGACTTTTTCTTCCTGCCAGTGGTGTGACTGGCTTTCACTATGCAATGGTCTTGACTCAGTTGATACCTTTTGGCACTATTGCCCAGATTCAAAAAAGGACATAGACATGAAATATGGGTCTTGGAGGACCGAAGACCAAAATGCCAGTCCTGACAGCACCACTCAGCTGCTTCCTAACACCTCTGGCTGCTTCAGGTTTTTTAACATTAAAAGATCCGACAATGTCTCACCTAAAAGCCCATAAAATATGAAAGAGGAAGGGCTTGCTCTGGTGATGCAAATGTTAGGATCACAACCCTGCCTGTCGCCGCACTGCACAGCAGCCCGCTGTTTGCTGGTCTTTCCTTGTGAAGGCAGCCAGCTTCAGCGGAGCTTTCCTCATGCTTAAAGTATCCTACAGCAGCGTGAAAGAAAGAAGGAAGAACTGTGCTTCCATAATGATTGTAATTTTGATTTTAAAAAATCAAAGGAAATTAAATGTCTCAGGAGATTAAGATCTTCTTACCTAGTTTTTCAAATATTCTTGTGCGAGAAAAAGACAGTATTTATAAAAAAACTCAACACTGTGCATTTTCTGCACATCTTCTGCCATTTTGTCTTCTCACAGGAGAAAAACCTGCCATCCTCTGACTGGCGTTTGCTTCAACAAAGATTGTGACGTAAGCAATTTTCTTCTTTGTTTCTTCAAGCTAATTGGCTGGTATTTAGTTAATTGATGACCAGTTTCAACTGCTGTCAAATGGGGACAGTCACTGCATTTTTGCAAGATTTCTAAATAAAAGCCTTCCGTCACTGCACCCTGCCCAGCACTAGCCACGTTAACAAAGACTGTTGCAACTCTATCATCCAATTAGCAGCAAAATGGAAAACTACAGTGCTCCCACCAGATGATTATGGTTTATGTACAGTAATTTGGAGCTGTTTCGGGTACAAAAGGCCTGCTTGTACACAGCGGCAGAGGATCAGATTGCAAACAGAACCACAACATTTACTCTGGCTCTCTTTGGAAGCAAGTTAACCTCAGCATGAGCAGCAGGACCCAACGGCCCGCAGCACCCCTCGAAACAGAGTGGGGAGACAGGAAGAAAGACACCAAAAAACCTCCTTCACCCCCGATTTTTCCCTTGGCTGTGAGGCTTGTGATGGTGGAAGCCTGTTTTTCAGCAGAGCCCGTGTACAGCCGCACACCACCCGTCCCCCACAAGATCACAGGCAGCAGTCCCCTCCCTGGAGCACCCCACAACTCAGCAGTTACTACTGCGGTGGTGATTTCTCACGACAAGCAGCGGGGCACGGAAACAAAGGCACCTCTCTATAACGCGCTCGGTTACCACGTCAAATTCTCTCCCAATTTTTCTGGCACTAAAGCAGACCACCTCGTTCACCTGACTGGCTTGGCACAGAATCGCGCTCCTTCGCCTCGACTGACATCTGCTTCATTCCTCAGCGACGGCTGCAGCTTCAGAGAGGTGCTGCACGGTGGGAAGGGTATCCTCCTTGCCAAATAAAAGCTGATCCCACATGAGCTGTTTGCAGAAGCTGCAGTGCTCTGCTTGCTCCTGAATACTAAGCAGCTGCTTACCTTTTGCAAGTGTTTGTTCTCACCCATCACTTGCCTTTAGTCTTTCTTACTCATTAAAAAAAGAGCCAGCGAGGAGAACTGCAGAGGGAAGCTCCCAAAGAGGAATTCTAGCAGAAGTGCTCCTGATTTGGGGGTATTACAGTTAAAATGTACTTTTCGGAGCTGGGCAAGTCCATGTGCCAGCCTAACGGGGTATGGACAGGGCTTCTATCAGTACATCAGTTCAAAATACAGTGCGGAGCAGCAAGTGCAAAATGGCCATTATGTTATCTATGCTGGCAAATTCTTTAATAACGTACCGAGGAAATGCAAGTTAAAGCTGGGAGAAGACTGAGTGCCCCAATGAAAATTGATCTTTTCCGGCTCATATAGTCAATCCGATTGAAAATTTATAAATAAAAACAAGTGTTGAGTTCTAAGACCATTTTTTCCTGTCTCTCAGCTGTCCTCTTTGTCCATCTTTGCAAAGAAAATAATTTGAATGAGTTCTGAGAAGTCCAATGTTATGAATATATTGTTACACAAAACATGAAAAATAGGTATTTGTGTTAAATAATGTTTCCATTACACGACAGTAAATTGCCTTCACTCAAGCCCCTCACACATGCACCCTAACAATGAATGAGGGAATGAATGAGTGAATGAATAAATAAAAGTTAAAGAAAGTGCTGGATTCACTGTAGTCATGACTCAGCCATGCTTAAGTAAGCAAGAAGAGAAACTGTCAGGAGCTGCCTCTTGGTTTTGAGCGGATCAGCTGAACTACTGAAATGTTTCTTCATGAATAGATCTGCAGCTGCATTAAATACGTGAAAAATAATTAAGAAAGAATAATTTGGTGTATGATAATACGGTAAAAAGGCCTTGTAGCATATGCTTAGCGTGGCTGTATTTCCAGGCAGCTGACTAGACTACATCTAAAATCATCCAGTCTCTTCCATACAAATACTGCACTATGGGTAGGTGAAGGCTGAAAGCTAAAATACTGTAATAGCGAAGCTGGAATTCTTCCTGCTCTAATTGTGCAAAAGCCATGCTCCAAGCCAAAGACCATCCAAATTATCATCCATCACACCCACCTACACTGCAGGACTGAATATTAAGTCTTCTGGCCCCCAAATGATGGTGATGCAGGAATTCAGACTTCCCATGGACAGAAAATGGGAAATCTGCTTTAAGGAACGGTATTTAGCGTCTTCACGTTTCTGTCATACTATAGAAGCCTCTCATCAGGAGGGCTGGAGGCACAGTGCACATGAAAGGGCAAAGATGTTTGCTCTCTGCTACTTATTGCATACTGTATTTGCATCATGGATGCGATCAGCAGGGGACATCACCAAATACTTTTTGGAGTAGAAAGTTTTAAGTCGTTAGGTCAATACTGAGTTTGTTAAATGTCTGTTTATCACTACAGGTTCCGTGTCCTGCAGCTACCCTACAGCAGTTGACCAGAACAATCAGAAATTTTATTCAGATGGATATAGTGCTAGGAGCATGAACGAACCACAACAAGAAAAAAAACGCCAAAACTTTGAGAAGTATTTGGGAGAAGTATTGGGTACTTGGGAAACACTGAGCCTATAATTATGTTCCATGTGATCAATGACTATGTCTGTGTATGGGATTTGTTCTTTATTTTCTCCACTTAATGGATATTGGATTTTTTTCCCTTCATACCCTGATTTCTTTCAGGACTATAATGTAGTGCAGGATTCCATTCTATAATCATGACTTTTTGAAGGAGGCTCTTTAAGGTTCCCGAGCAGTGATTTTCTGCGCCACTGAGCCTGCCTTTTTGTATTAACGAGAGACTGATTTTCTCCATCTGGGCATGTGAAGTTCCAGGGTGTATCCTCTGGATCATCACCCTGTAATGTGCAGTGATATCAACAGCACAAGATATGAATGCTTCAACTTTAACATTATCAGAAATAAAAGCTTTTAGATCACCAGTGTGGGAAGACTCTCTGAAGAAACCAGTAAGTTGTGAAGCCACCAAAAGTTGTTTGCTATAGGAATGCAAACTTACAATTATATTAAAGCAATTTATTCTGGATCAGATATATTACAGTTCCCACAGATAGGTTCCAATCCCACAATATTGTCCATTTTGCTTAAATTTACCTATTCTGAGGAATCCTTGATTCCAGCAGGAACAACTCACAGTATGTACAGGTCTTGTAGGACTGTCATTACGAAGACTGTTTGACTATGTAATTGTGGCTGTATACAACAGTTTTCAGTCACAGCAAAAGACACGTTCATCAAAAAGCTGTGTGGGCTTTTGAAGACAGATGCTCTATCAGCGCAGCGAGGAGCTTCATTTTGGCTATGTCTGTTCCAGGTGAGTTCTCACAAAAACATCATAGGTAGCCCAAAGCTGTAAAGCTGAACCAACTGCTGCTAGAACAAAAAAACTACTGCTGAACAGGAATTTGTGGAAGGCTTAATTCCCCTTGAGTTCATTACACTCTGAAGGCATGTGTACTAGTCATACGACCATGTAAAGACGAAACTAAATTCAAAATTATATAAAAAAGATACACCAAATTCTTTCATCAGGAAACCTAATAACTGGCAGGAGTGATAGGAAGGCACAATTTTCCTGGAAGGTGATCCCAAGCAACTCCATTGGATGGAAATGCCTGGGATGGTGCAATCAGCAGGA